TACTGCCTCGGAAACCCAAGGAGGGGTTGCTATGAGTCGGGGCCGACTCGACGGCACATAACAACAACAACAACAATGCCTAGGATAGGAGCTCTGGGAGCATAGTGCCTAAGGTGTTTGACTGCTAACCAGAAGGCTATGGGTATCAATTTTCAAGGATACCATTTTATTTTTTATACCTTTCAGTTTTCCTAGATTCATACTTCATACATTCCACATTCTGATTATTAATGAATGTTTATAGCTGTTTCTTCCTGTTTTGCATCATCCCACATCATCAAATGAAGATTCTGAAAGCTTTACTCCATCCATGTCATTAAGATTTGTTTTGAGGACGTAGCTTTTCCCCAGTGGTATTTTGAGTGCTTTCCAACCTGACGAGCTTATCTTCTGTCACTACATCAGACAGTGTTCCACTGCTATTCATGAAGTTTTCACTGGCCAGTTTTTTTAGAACTAGTTTGCCAGGTCCTTCCTAGTCTGCAACATGTGGCATAGTTTTCTTAGTCTGTCTTAGTCTAGATGCACCACTGAAACTGCCTACCATGAGCAGCAGCCCTGCTGATGTTTGAAATACCAATGGCATAGAATCCAGTATTAGAGCAATATGCAAGTTACCACAGACGAGTGGTGGTTCCTCCACAATCTTGAATAATTCCTGTTTCTGAAATTATAGGCTGTATAGGGAAAATATAATAGGGAATTCTATTATAGTTACTTCCTATGTCTTAGGAGAGACAAGATAAGGATAGTTTTGACAGTTAAGGAACAATACACCTAAATATCCATCAACTGGCAAATGGCTGAACAAATTGTGGCATATCCAGATAATGGAATATTATTTGACAGTAGAAAGGAACAGAGAGTACTGATACATGCTACAATATGGATGTGCCTTGGAAGCATTTTGCTACTTGTTAGAAGCCAATCACATGAAATCACACATTGTATGAGTCCATTCATATGAAATGTGCAGAATAGGCAAGTCCATAGAAATCAATAGTAAATTAGACATTGCCTAGGCTGGGAAGATTGGGGGATTGGAGAGTACTAGCCAAAGGGTACAGAGTTTCTTTTTGAGAGATGGAAATGTTCTCAAGTTTGCTTTTGGTGATGCACAACTCTGAATATACTAAAACCATTTAATTGTACACATTAAATGGGTGAATTTTATGGTATGTAAGTTATCTCAATTAAGACGTTTTAAGGGAATCAATACAAGGATATGTAATTGATTGGAAATTTGTGCAGTTCAGACAGTGACTGTTTTCAGAAAATTAGAGTAGAGACACTAGTGTAAAGAGAGGCTTTCTGGAAGTTTTTGATGTATCTTGCTACTTTGAGTAGTCTGGGGTATGGGACTCCAGAGAGATGGCTGGTGATTGCCAGCAGAAGTCAGGTTTTATTGTGTGGAGGCACAAGACACTGCAGTGAGGAGAACCGCCAGACTGGAGTGGAAGGCTCCGGGTAGGGTGAAGGCTGGATGGAGAGGGTGGGAGCAGATTGTGGAGAGCCTAACTACAATATTGATCTTATCCTATACACACTATAGGATCTTGATCAAGAAAATAATGTGACAAACCCCACCAAAGGTGTGGGATCATGCCGAGTTGAACTCCAGTGAAAGACATACCATTGAGGGAGGTTATCTTGAGATAATCCTGGGAATGAGGAGGATGAGGCAAACCTGAGGTACATTTGGAAGGGAACTGGGGTCTAAATGATTCTTTTGGGACAGAAGAAAGATGGGGCTTCTAAGCATGTAGAAGAGGTTTTTGTTCTTCTTTTTTTAAAAATGGTTATTTTATTTTTAGTGAAAATATACAGAACAAAGTATGCACCCATTCAACAATTTCCACATGTATTACAGTTCAGTGACCATGTAGAAGAGTTTTGTTTACAAGTTGTGGTTGGGATGAGTGGGATCCAAATCACCAGAAATGGTTTCAGCGGGGCCACAGTCCCAGTGCTCTCTTCTCTTGGGTATACTGGGTATTCTCCTTGCTATTTTTTTGTCTTTGGGAGATAATTTTTGTCTGGAACCTGTCAAAACAGGCTGTGTGATGCCAGAAATCAGAATGTGAGTTTACTGTTTTGACCAATGGCTGGTACATATCACGAGCTGCAAAATATTTAATTAGTGAGGTCATTTGAGGGAAATGACATTTGATCAATAGAAGTTTGCTGTTTCCTTAGGTGTTGAGTCTGAACCACTCTTCTTCTACCTTATTTTAACAAACCCACAAACCATTAAAAATGGAAAGAATAACTTTTGAGACCCACAAAGGCTTATTTTTAATCAGTTGTGTAGTCTGCTCACCTTTGTAGCATTCCCCTAGACTGATTCCCCAAAGTATGCTAGCCAAGTGGCTTCTATACTTTTAAAGCAGCAACTGTCTTACTGATAGCCCCATATTTAGGATGGAGCCCTGTCTTACCCACTCACCCATGCCCGCTCCTCATGACTCCCTAGGTCCATCCCTTAAAGGAAAACCGCCTTAGTCCCTAGTGTTGATTGATGCTTAAGACACCCTTTTCTTTTTTTCCATTTGTAATGTTTGCAGCTGAAACCTGTTGAGCACTCAGAAAGACATTCATTGAGTTGAGGGTGTTGTTGTTGTTGTTATGTGCTGTCGAGTCGGCCCCGACTCATAGCGACCCCTCCTTGGGTTTCCGAGGCATTATCACTGCGGAAGTAGGATTGCCCAACCTTCCTTCCGAGGAGTGGCTGGTGGGTTTGAACCGCCAGCCTTCTGGTTAGCAGGCAAGTGTCTTAGCCACTATGCTACCAGAGTTGAGGGTAGCAAAGGGAAAAAGTGAGTTTAGAAAAGAAGACAATGAAGAGATAGTATGATTGTGCATACACCATTTATTTAGCAAACATTTGTTCAGCAACTCTATGTGCCAGGCTTGTAGTAGGTGCTGGGGATATAAGGATTTATAGAACAAATGCCAGCCCTCTGGAGTAGATGCACTGAGGGGGCTATCCCTTATTGTGGTAAGTGCAGTGGGAGGCCACCTCACCCTTATGGGATGCCAGAAAAGAGCTACCAGTCAAACAGAACTGGAGCGTGAGTGGAGAAAGTCAGGCAGAGATAAACATGGGCCTTACAGGAGGACAGAGCAGCTGTGAGTTGGAACCAGGGATCAGTGTGGTAACATGTTTCTCAGAGCCCCATGCTTTGGGGTCTTGGCAAGTAGCTCCATATGAGCCTCTTCTAGTGAACTGGTAGTGAAAAATATGGCTTCTCCAAGGCAGCAGGGATGGTCAGGCATTCTATGCGAGTGGCACCGTGTTTGTTCTTTGGGTAGGACATGGACAGTTGGCCGAAGATGCTAGAAGTACATGTGACCACCCCAAAAAGAGATGGAAACTTCATGTCCCCCTCGTTAGTGAAAAGAGGGGTGTTCAAGAGATGTGTAACAATATGAGGCAGTGGGCTCATAGGTCTATCTTGTTAACACAAGTGATGAGTTGCTGGTCCTGATAGGAGTGAGTGTGTGAAAAGGGTTCACTGCTCCTGGTGGAGACTCCTTGGCAGATCTGGTGAGCCGTGGATGACCTGGGGTCAGCCCAGCACACTGCTGTTGGGGAAGAGAGGTGAGGGCGAGGGAGGAGTCACTGTGTGACAGGGTAATGGGAGAGGGGAGAATGAGAGGAAGGACTGGGGGTGACGGTTGTGAGAGGGTGAGCTTGGGCAGTTGGGTGAGCAGAAAGGAGCTTTGTGTACAACAGCTTACGCTGCCAGAGCAAGTGTGGGTTTTGTGGCAGCTGCAGGCCTACGTTCCTAATATAGTCAAAAGCCCCGAATCCTCTGGCCTGACACCTGTTAGCTGGAGGTTCCCCTAAGCTGACCTCTCCTTGGGTTGTCTCTTCCACATGTGCATCTGACTTGCTGGGGGCCAGAAGCCCACACTCATCAAATCACTTGGACTCAGAGTGCCTGGCTGAAAAGTTGGCTTCTCTCAACTTGGATGGCAGGTGTTGGATTTTAGAGGGGCGGGCTTTGTTCACCTGTTACTAGGGCAAGGTGTGAGGCTGACCTAGTCGAAGTACATTGGAGTATTCTCTGGGAAGTGGCCATTCTTGGCAGAGCACTGAGTTTGTGGGGAGGGGGCAGCTCTGGACACAAAGAAATCCTTGGGAGGGCTGACCTTACCCCTATAGAATGGAGAGAAATGAAATATGAACCGCTTAATGCTGCTGCAGCTGCTTCCTAACTTTAGCCTCTTTCTTCCTTTGACCTTTGGAGGAGTGGGGTAGAGAAGAAGAGATGAGGGTCCTCCAGCAGCCAGCCATTTTCCAACTGACCTATATTCCAATTCCCACCTCCAGCTCTATAGCCCCAAGTGACTGTGCTGGGACATTGCAGCTCAGTGCAGCTAGTGTAATTCCCTTTGTCTCTCCCTTCCTTCCCCTCTCCCTATGTCCCTCTCTCCTCCTTTGGTTCCTCTTTCTGGCCCCTGTGGGTGGCTGCAGCTCAGCCCTGGGGAGTCCCTGTGGAGGTGGAGTCCTTCCTGGTCCACCCTGGTGACCTGCTGCAGCTTCGCTGTCGGCTGCGGGACGATGTACAGAGCATCAACTGGCTGCGGGACGGGGTACAGCTGGTGGAAAGCAACCGTACCCGCATCACAGGGGAGGAGGTGGAGGTGCGGGATTCTGTGCCCGCCGACTCCGGCCTCTACGCTTGCGTGACCAGCAGCCCCTCGGGCAGCGACACCACCTACTTCTCCGTCAATGTCTCAGGTTGGTAGCAAAGCCCTGCCTTCATCCTCTCCTTCTACCCTTTGACCCCTCCCTGCTAGTTTCAGGGCAAAGTGTACCTCCTTCCCACCTCCATGATCTACCCCCACTCTGCTTCAGAAACTGCTGCCCACTAACATTGCTCCTTGCCCGCCGCGTGGCTTGGCTCTCAGAGGGGTGACCCAGTGGTACAGGCCCCAGTGCAGAGATCTAGGGCTGCTAAAATACTATCTTGGAGTTGATTGTTGATACTCTTGGGGGCATTAAGACCCTGGTGACTTCTCCACTACAGCCTACCCAGATCGCCAGGTGGCTAAATGGGGCTTAGCCAACTCCCATTCTGTCCATCCCCTTGCCATTTGGACTTGGTATTTGGTACTCAGTATTCGACTTAGTGATCAGAGCCCCAGAACATGTGGTGAGGTCCCTACCATGATGGGGAAGGATCCAGGTGCACCGCTGTATCCGCAAGACTGATGAGAAACATCTGTCCTCTAGCTTCCGGATCTGTGTTAGGACAGCCAGAGAACCCTAGAGCCCTGTGACTTTGGGAATCTGCCACTTCTAGTTGGCAAGAGTTATTAGACTTCCACAAATGTAGAATTAAACAAAAGTAGACCTGACATTTTCTCTATGCCATTTGTGCATCTCAGGGGTATGGCTTGACACCACCTCCCCTGAGGCATCATTTAGAACCTGCCCTAACTTAGGGATTTGCCTTCTTTATTTCCTTCCTGACCCCCCAAAACACTAGCAAGGCCTGGAAAAAGATCTGGCATGAACCCTGATTGGTGACACAGTGGCACAGTGTGTGTCAAGCTTCTTTTTTGTTTTCCATCTATTAAAAATGGTGGGTACTTGTTGGGAGGAGGTGTTGGCAGCTGCAGACTGTGTGGTAGGCTCCCTATCTGTTCTGGAAAAGAAGGATGGCTCCCAAACTTTTAACAAGTACCTGCTAGAAAAATTTTACTTGCGTTATCCAATTGTTGGCATTCAAAGAGGGATACAGATTGGCTGGCTGCTAGTTATGAGACCACAGCATCCAGGTGGTAGGTACCATGAATTGGGAGAGAGGCTTTGAATTCAGAATGGAATTAAATTAATGAGGACAGCTGACCCTGGTGGAACTGTGCAGTGCAAAGGCTTCTGAGGAGGGAGATAGTGCATGGAGTTGGGGAAGGATGGGGACAAATAGAGGAGGAGCATGCATGATTTGAACGCTTAAATAAAGGGTTTTTATCCCACCCAGAGCTAGTCACTAAGGGAACAGTGGGACTGTCATTAAGGGGAGGAGTGTCTGAGTTTATTGGCAGCTGCAGACTGTGTGGTAGGACTGGCCTTTATGGGGTGCTTGTTGATATGGATGGAAATCTAGAGAACCCCTTTTCCCTTGGAGAGACATCAGTGCCTCCCTCTTCTTCCCATAGATGCTCTCCCCTCCTCGGAGGATGATGATGACGATGATGACTCCTCTTCCGAGGAGAAAGAGACAGACAACACCAAACCAAACCGTATGCGTGAGACACTGTTTCCTACTTTACTGCCCTCCAGGCCTGGGAATTGGGTTTGAGAGGGAAAGGGGAGGCTTAGACATTGGTTTGGAGAATGGAAGAAGAGAGTGATAGTGGTGATAATGCTTGACTGCTAATTAAATTATGGGGTTCACAGTGGTACAGTGGTCCCTGTGAATGTTATGGGCACTCACAGGTGTAGACAAGAGGGCGGGGCACCTCTGGGTCTTGGCTCCAGAGGCTGACCAGCCTCCTTTGCTTGTCTGTGTTGGCTTTTCCCTGGACAGCTGTGGCTCCATATTGGACTTCCCCAGAAAAGATGGAAAAGAAATTGCATGCAGTGCCAGCCGCCAAGACAGTGAAGTTCAAATGTCCTTCCAGTGGGACCCCTAACCCGACACTGCGCTGGTTGAAAAACGGCAAAGAATTCAAACCTGACCACAGGATTGGAGGCTACAAGGTAAGTGTATACGTATAAAAGTTAGAATAAGAGGAACAGGAGAAGCTGAGGTAGTGTATCCTTATAATTGTCTTAAACAATGTGTTCTGACTATAGAAGTAATGCATTTTTTAAATGTTTTAAATTAAAAAAAAAAATTTTTTTCAGTCTTTTCTATGCATATGGTTTTTACATAGTTAATCACTTTCTTGTCATCTGTTAACATTATAACGTAAGTCTTTGCCATGTACTTGAAAGATAATTTTTTATGGCTGCATAACATTCCATTATAAAGATACCCCATAATTAAATTAACAGTTTTATGATATTAGCAATTATCTGTCTTTCCCTATTATAAATGATGTTGCAGTGATGTGCTTTGTACTCCTATCCTTGTCAACATTTTTAAATGTTTTTTCTTAGGACAGATTAAAAACAAACAAACACACTCACTGCTGTAGAGTCGGATCTGACTCATAGCAACCCCTCCTTGGGTTTCCGAGGCAGTATTGCTACGGAAGTAGATTGCCCAACCTTCCTTCCAAGGAGTGGCTGGTCAGTTTAAACTGCCAGCCTTCTGGTTAGCAGCCAAATGACTGGAGGTAAAATTACTAGATTAAGGGTATAAACATTTTTAAAACGCTTTATGCACATTACCCAATTAATTTCCTGAAAGGAAAATCAATTCAGTCTCCCAGAGCAGAATATATGAATGACACGTTCACTTACCTTTGCTAGCAAGTTTGTTGGATGAAAGTATCACACTGTTCTCTTGTGCATTCTTCCACTTATTAATGAAGTTCAAATTTTTGTATGTTAACAAGCCATTTTCATTTCCTAAGTGTAAATTGTCTGTTCATGCATTTTGCCACTTCGTATCTATAGGAAGAACATCTTCATTGCAATCCCTTCTTCAAAGTCTCTGATTATGCTTTTGGTCTGTTTCTTTCTCATCTCACCTAGCTCTTTGCTCAGTAATCTTGTGCAAGAACAGGAGACATAGAGAAACATTTTAAATGAATGCATCAAGCACTTGCTGTCTGCAGAGCACTGTGCTATGATAGTACAAGACAACATTGCTGACCATAAAGAGTTTCTAGTCTAATAGGAGGGCAAATACATACATTCGCAAATACCATAAAAAGCAGATTGTGATAAGTTCTTCAGTAGAGATACACACGAGACGTTAGAGGTACAGAGGGAAAGTTGAGAACAAGTCTGACCAGAGATTGGACTGGAGAAGATGGTTTTTAAATGAGATTTCAAAGGCAAATAGGACCAGAATCTTGGCAGGAGAGTTATTCCAGGTACAGAATACAGAATTGGGAAATTTCCTGGTATATTTGGGAGAATTTGTAACAGATCATAGGTGGTCTTAAGTGCTATCATGAAGACTTGCAGAGTTCATTCCATTCATCTGTCGGGTTGCGTGATATGTTCTTTCTGATTGTAAATGGATTGAGGGTAGAACTCGCTTGGCTAACTTTCAGAAGGTTGGGGCCATATGCTGCTGTGCTCTGATTTGGAGGTGTAAGTGCCCCAGGGTACCAACAACACCATGTGGGTTCTGTCTTGACTTTCCTCCAGACCCTCAATAGAGCCCTTGTCATTTCCCCCCTTAGGTCCGTTATGCCACCTGGAGCATCATAATGGATTCCGTGGTGCCCTCTGATAAAGGCAACTATACCTGCATTGTGGAGAATGAGTATGGCAGCATTAATCACACCTACCAGCTCGATGTTGTGGGTAAGAATGCAAAGACAATAGAAGTGTAGAGCTTAGAGGAAAGAGTAGGGGTGTTTATAAACAGGTATGGCTTCCAGGTTTACCTAGGGATAGCATTGTGACACTCACTTGAACAGTTGCTTGCCTATTTTGAGCCTCACTTTTCTGTAGGAGCCCCTGAGTGGTGCAAACAGTTAACTCACTTGCTGCTAATTGAAAGGTTGGGGGTTCGAGTACACCAAAGGTGTCTTGGGAGAAAAGCCTGGCCATCTTCTTAGGAAAAAATCAGCAGTTGAAAACCCTATATGGAACATAGTTCTATGCTGACACACGTGGGATTGCCATGAGTCTGAACCAATTTGATGGCCCTGGTTTCTTTTCTGTAAAATAGAGTTATGAGCATCAGATGGTCATGTGTCTCAAAGCAATTTGCACACTATTCAATAGAAGGTACTGTTAACTAGTTTCTTCTGAAATGTGACTGGAGTAGTGTAGTTAAATTAGCATAATATTAGCTCTTTCTTAATGAATTTCAGCAATATGTGATTGTTGTGGCACCCTTGCAAGGTAGGCGCTATTATCCCAGCTGTATGAAAGAATAAGCTGAAGCTTGGAGAGACCAGGTGCTTGCTAATGCAGCACGCTGAGTTTGTGCTGACCCCAGGGCATCACATGAAACACTAGGCAGAATGTCGTACTTCTAAGTGACAGTATCGTAGCCTATTCCTTCTAGCCATTCTGAATCTCGTTATCTGGAGATTTTAAAGTAAAGAATTTCACAGCGAGCATTCTTTTTTTTGTTTTTAATGGTTGAAAAAAAGATTCTGGTCCAGCAGGGCTTTGGTGGGGGCCTAGATTTTGCATTTTGAGCAAGCTCCTTAAATGATACTGGTGCTCCTGGACTACACTATGAATAGCAAAATCTAAGTGAGTCTGATTTTAGTTAAGAAGTAGGCTGTGCTGGAGCCTGGCAGCATGACTGAATTATAGGAGTCTCCATTAAGACAAGACCCAAAACCATTTCCAAACCCACTGCCATTGAGTTGATTCTGACTTACAGTGACTCTATGGGACAGAGTAGAACTGCCTGATAGGGTTTCCAAGGCTGTAAATCTTTACGGAAGCAGACTGCCTCATCTTTTTCCCATAGCATGGCTAGTAAGTTCGAACCACTGACCTTTTGGTTAGCAGCCAAATGCTTTAACCACTCTGCTCCTATTAAAGCAAAGAGACTTCCTAAGTGGATGCATTGCCTTGGAGAGGAGGTTCCTGATAGCTCTCAGGGTCTGAGGAGAGGGGAATATCTGAGAAGATCTGTCCCTTGTCTTAGCTCAGATTCATGGGCCCGGGGCTCAGCAAGGATGCTGGGAAGCACTGCACATCCCTGGGAAGGCACAGGGCCTCTCTCATAGTCTAGGTCATATGAGCCAGGGTATATGTTTGAGAACCACAGTGGGTTCTGACCAACCTCTCCTCTCCCTTCCTCCACAGAGCGGTCCCCTCACCGACCCATTCTGCAGGCAGGGTTGCCTGCCAACAAGACAGTGGCCCTGGGCAGCAATGTGGAGTTCATGTGTAAGGTATACAGTGACCCACAGCCCCACATCCAGTGGCTAAAACACATCGAGGTGAATGGGAGTAAGATTGGTCCAGACAACCTGCCTTATGTCCAGATCTTAAAGGTAATCTTGGTTTCAGTCTCTGTGGAACAGTGTGCTGGGAAAGAGGGCTCAAGTCCTATGATCAGCCTTAGCACCCACACTAGGGATGCATCCCTCACCCTTCAGGCCACACTCCACATTAATAGGGGCCTAGGCACATTCCCCAGGACTAGGGACAGATCACAAAGTGAAAGTGGGATGGGAACAGAGGAATGGGGGAGTGGGCAGTGCAATGCTTGGTCTCTAAAAAGCTTTGAGAGTGATTTTGCTGGGGCTTTTGGGTCAAATACAGGAAAACATTTGAGCTCCATCGTGTTTGTTGCTTAGGATCAAGGCCTTTCCAACAAACTTTTCCTAGCCTCTGCCCTGCTTCCCGAGTTATGTTCTTTCTGACAGGTGGGATACATGACAAAGGCATAGTTTGGTGGAACTGGAAAAGCAAATGCCACATATAAATTCTAAGTAGTGTCAGGAGTAATGGCATTCTCTTCCTTTTTCCTCTCACTCCCAGACTCACTGTCCCTGAATGCTCCATTAATCCAGGGAAGGTAATTGCCTAAATCTCCAGTGGATCTTGCAACAGGAAGTAACCAAGAGCTGGGAAAGTTGTTTACCTCCTTGTCCCAGAGTTAGACCTTATCCTCCCCTGGCGTGGCTGTCCCCAAGATTTACTGGCCATCCCATTTCTTCCTACTGGTACTGAAAATGCTCTGTAGCAAATGGGCCTGTGGCCTTACATCATGGGCACTCTTTTCATTCACAATCCCCGCCCTAGTCCCGGAGGAGCAGGTATAACACACTAACAGGACATTTGATTTGGGGTAGTGCTTTTTTAAAAAAAAATATTTTTCAGTCAGAGGTTTTTGAAGTGAATTTGCTTTGTCCTCCTAAAAAGGAAAAGATGCCAAATCTCATTTAATGTCTCCCTTGCCTTGAATTTAAATTTAAGGCTCCCTGGGCCTGCCTTAAAATAACATGGGAGCAGAGTATGGCCACATCTCAGTATTTGCCCAATTGACTGGTGTGTCGTTGGTTTGTTCCAGCATTCGGGGATTAATAGCTCGGATGCGGAGGTGCTGACCCTGTTCAATGTGACAGAGGCCCAGAGCGGGGAGTATGTGTGTAAGGTTTCCAATTATATTGGTGAAGCTAACCAGTCTGCGTGGCTCACTGTCACCAGACCAGTGGCAAAAGGTAATGGGGAGCTGGACGGGGCCCTGTGCTGGGAGTTTGATTTAGGCCCCTGCTGCTGGGGCAGGTTGGGGAACCAGCGCAGAACTCTCCCTGTTATCCTACTATATATCTTTAGTGCCCAGAGCCATGGAAAAATGCCTGGCTTGGGAGGCTGATTTGGTTTGGTACTATGTTGGTTTCTGTTGGCTCCCTTTGTGCCTTATGTGTGTTCCTCAGCTGTGTGTGTGTGTGCGTGTGCACACATGCACGCGCACACATACTTGTGGGTGCACAGTCTTGCTTCATTACAAATGATACTTAAGATTGCAGGTTTGAGTGGTGGGCAAGAGAAAGGACCAAGTGCTCCCTCTGTGTGTGTGTATGTGTGTGTGTGAGAGAGAGACATTGTACCCCTCTCCCCTCCCTCTTGTGTGTGCCCTCTGACTCTCTTTACCTGAAACCAAACAGCCCCCTACCCACCAGGCCCCATTTCTCCATGCTGCCCACTGCCCGCATGCTTGGATGGGCCAGGGGCTACAGCGTCTGGTGAAGGGTCATAACCAGCCATCATCTTCTCAGGTCTGCTGGAGTTCCTCCCTCAGGGTCTTACTCTCTTTCTCTAACAGGTCTCGCTGCCTGGTGGTTTTTGTTTGTTCATTTTTTGCAAAGGAGACGCTGGGGAACATTTCTTCCTCTGATTTCTCCCCCTTCTCTTTCTCCCTCCCTTTCTCTGTGTCTCTTAGAGGTCTCATGTCCTGTGCTTGTCCATTTTGCTTCCGTTGTCTCTTCTAGACTGCCGGAGTTAATACCACCGACAAAGAGATGGAAGTGCTTCACTTAAGGAATGTCTCCTTTGAGGACGCGGGGGAGTATACATGCTTGGCGGGTAACTCTATCGGACTCTCCCATCACTCTGCATGGTTGACCGTTCTGGAAGGTATACACTGTACTTCTCCTCTCGATGTCCTGCCCTCGCCGTGGGCACGGGGGGAGCATGCATTGCAGGACTAGGGTAGACACAGAGCCAGGGGAGGTGGAGGAATGGGTTTCATGGGCCAGCAGGCAGCTCCCTGCTTTTTGTGTGCCCTGTCCTGCTCCAGCATTTTGTCCGACCTTGAGGGTTGAATCCTCTGGTCCAACATAGGAGCCTTCCTAGTTTTGCAGGAACATGAAGGCCTCCCACCTGTATACCTGCATCTGGCTCTCCCCTTGGCCAATGCAATGCATGCGTGGGATCTGGATTTAATGTGCAGCCGGCGCTTCTCAGGACAGGCTCCTTCCATCCTTGTATCCAGCAGACTTGCCTCATCTGCTTGTTGCTGAGGACTAAGTGAATTGTATGATCCTTTTTGCCAGACCCAAGAATCTTAAAAAGATCATATTCCTTTCCTAACTGAATACAGACCCTCAATACAAGGGCTTTGCTGCTTGCAAGCAACACCCCTAGCCTAACCTTCTATATTGTTGCTGTCTGACTTTGGAGAGGTTCTACCTAGACAGGTGAGCTTCAGCTGCTGAAAAAAAAAAAGCCTGTCTCAAGGCAGTAGCAGAGGGCTTGATGTCCCCATTTATCTTCTTTGACTACTGACATTTCTCTTCTGCCAAGAGGGAAGGTATGCGTGTTATGCTGGGAAGGAAGGAGCCTACAGCTTGCTCAGGGTGGTGGGATGGTGACTGCAGGGTCAGAGGTGGTTGGTGCTGCTTCTCTGAGTCCTGCATGTGGGTCTGGATGCTATTCTGTTGTTGTTACTGCTCACACTGCCTTCCTTTCTCTTCCTTCTCTTTCTCTCACTGCCCTGATTGCCTGACAGAGTCTGATAATGCCCCTCCTTGAGGCAGAGAAGAGTTCTGTTTTTGTCATTGTCACTGTCCTTGTTCCGTTTGTGCTTCCCATGTACTCCCAACTAGTTGTCTTTGTTTCTTGACATTGGGGAAAGGGAAAAAAAAAAAAAAACCAGAAACAGTTCTCCCTTTTATCAGCTCTGCAGTCTCCTTGTCAGGCTGTGGGAAGGTATCTTCCAGGCTAAGTCTGAGACTATACCTTGTGTCTCTCTGGGAAGGTTCAGAGGGGTGCCTGACTCCATGGCTGGCTGGTGTGTTTGAAAGGGGAAGAATGGGAGGAGACCTGTAGAGAGTAGAGGGGCATTCACATTGGTGGGGCAAGGAATGTTCTGTGAAGAAGCTGGTCACTCTGTGTGCTGAGATGTAAACCCTCCCAGTATCTCATGTTAAAGGAAAAAATGGATTGAACTGAGTTGGCTTCTGGTGGGAATGGGCATTAATTCTAAATGAAAGGTGGGAGAAGAAATAAAACAAGCCCCTAAATACACACATGAACACACACACACTTCTTTTGTAAGTTTCAGGAGTTAGGACCTGTGAGTAGAATTCTTAAGACTTATGAAAATGCTTTTTTTTCCTCCTCCTATCTAGAATAGTCCAAACATATTTAAAAATTAAATAGGTTTTGGTTGTCATTTGTTGTTGTTTTTGTTATGTGCTGTCAAGTCAGACCCGACTCATAGCGACCCCTCCTTGGGTTTCCGAGGCAGTATCACTATGGAAATAGATTGCCCCATCTTCCTTCTGAGAAGTGGCTGGTGGGTTTGAACTGCCAGCTTTCTGGTTAGCAGTCAGGTGCCTTTGGCACTATGCTTCCAGAGCTCCTTGGTTGTGGTTTAGATAGGTGTAAATATTTACCTATTAGACCTGCCTGATAGATGATAGATGGAAGGTAGAAACGTCAGGTTAGACTCTTCCCCTCCATTGGTTCTCATTCTGTGAGTGCCACTATATACAAGGTATGGTGGCATACAGACATAACAATGTACCTGCCATCCCTGCCCTCAAGGAACTTACGGACTTCAGGGCAAAGAATTCATAAACCATCTATTCCTATGTTACAGGTGTTTGTATACAACACTGAGGCTGTGTAGAGAAGGGACACCTTTTCCATAAGGAGACAGAGAGGGTCTCAGAAGTAAAGCCTTAGTTCTCACTTGCAGGATACCTGGTACCAGCAGTCTAGCTGAACAAGGAGGGCTCCTGAATTAATAAGGATGGGACTTGTGTCTAATTCATCCCTCCTGCTGGGTTCAAATCAGAATAAGGAAGCTTTAAAGATCACAGGATGTCTGATCCCATCAGTGCCAAAATATCAATCTTAGCCAGGACCTGACTTGGCCCTGAAAATTCCCAAGGGAAAGGAGATGGGTGTTGTTTTTCTTATGGAGCTGGGGCCATAGTATCCCAGGTCCCCAGAACCTGCTAACACTCTGTTCACACTGACTCAGCCCTGGAAGAGAGACCAGCAGTGATGACCTCACCCTTGTACCTGGAGATCATCATCTATTGTACGGGGGCCTTCCTCATCTCCTGCATGGTGGGATCTGTCATCATCTACAAGATGAAGAGTGGCACCAAGAAGAGCGATTTCCACAGCCAGATGGCCGTGCACAAGCTGGCTAAGAGCATCCCTCTGCGCAGACAGGTAACAGAAAGTAGATGGGGGATTTGCACGCTCAGCACCACCTACTCTCCCAGGCCTCCTCCAGGGGCTTATCTCGGGACCTGTAGCTCCCTGTCCTCCCCAAACAAAAAAAATTAAACTCACTGCCATCAAGTCGATTCCGACTCACAGCAACCCCAATTGGGTTTCCAAGGTGATAATTTTTTTTTTTTTTTTTAATTTTTATTGCGATTTGGGTGAAAGTTTACAGAGCAAACTCATTTTCCACACAGCAGTTCATATACATTTTGTTTCATGTCATTGACTGCAATTCCCACAATGTAAAATCTCTCTTCCCACTTCTCCCCATAGTGAACTCTTCTCTGTGCTCCTCCCACTCATGCACTCTTGCCCCCGCGAGCTGTCTCCCTATGCAAACACTGCCCTTCTGTTCTTCCACAATTGATGGCTCCAAGGAGTGTATCTACCTGATATAAATATTCACCCTATATACCTGTCTGCTGTTTGACTGGAAGCCACAGGAGTGAGTTTAATTCTAGACCTGAAGGGCATTTAGGGCCCCTAGTCTCAGGGGTTTTACCAGGCTCTATCAGACCAGAAAATCTGGCCCCCCTTCCCTGCTTTTTTAGACCAGAAAACCTGCTCTGCCCCCCTCCCACTTTTTTCCCCCCAGTGATTTTGAGTTTTGTTCCACATTGTTCTCCCCACTCTATCTGAGATCTTCTGCACTGATTCCCCTCTGAGTAGTTGACAGTGGTAGCTGGGCACCATCTAGTTCTGGTCTCATGGTCATATAGGTTAAGGATTGCATGGTCTACTTACTATTCACTTGGACTAATTGTTTCCATGTATCTTTGATTTTCTTCATTCTTCTTTGCTTTGGACGAGGAGAGACTCATTGTTGCATCTAGATGGCTGCTTGGAAGCTTTTAAGACCCGAGTCGCTACTCACCAAAGTAGGATGTAGAACAGTGTTTTTGTGTAGTATGTTAGCCAGTTGAGCTTGATGTCCCCTGCAACCTTGGTCCTGAGCCCACAGGTCTAACTGCTCACTCCCTCAGGGTAGCTGGCAGTGGCCAAGAAGTGACTACAACCTTGCCCCTTCTCAGTTCTGCTATATACCCGGACACTCCTATATCACATACAAATACACATATAGAAACATTGTCTGCCAATCCTATACATGGTCATGGGCACACTCCCCCTGCATAAACATATCTTATCATTCAGCATGTCCACACATCTGTCCACCCGTAGATCAATGCTTGCCGTCACTGACAACACAAGGCAGTAAATCTTTACAGAAGTAGATTGCCCCATCTTCCTTCCGTGGAGGGGCTGGTGGGTTTGAACCACCAACCTTGTAGTTAGCAGTCAAATGCCTTAGGCACTATGCCACCAGAGTTTCTCCCCACTGTCCCTAAACTGCTGCTTTGGGCTTTGTTTGCTGGCTTCGGGTCAGTGGATCTTCCTGAGCTAAGTGTTCCAGAGTCAGATGTAAAGCTGTTCTAGCCCCTGAGTTCTCTAATCTCATCACACTTCAACTTTAAGTCCCTTGCTCACCTGGCACATGGACTGGAGAAAGCCCCATCTGGACTGAATGTACAACTGATAGCATGTATTTGAATGCATTCCAGGGCTGGTAAGAGGGGCAAAAGATAACAGATAGAGGAGAGGACCTGAGTTAGGTCCCAAAATACCCTCTTTCTCCTGTGTGCCCACTCTCTCCTCATGGAAGGAAATGATGCAGAAGGTGAAGGCCTAGGAAAGAAGTGAATACTATGTTCACTCAGAATACTGTGCTGATTCTGGAAGGTTCTTTAGGAGTTAGGAATCTATGGCATAAGGTAGGGTTTTTGTAAAGAATTGGGACAAAACTAGAGTTATTAGAATAAGTTATAAAAATGACAAGCTAGAAGAGGTACTCAGAGATCATTTAGTCTGTTCATTTTAAAGGTGAGTAAACTGAGGCCCAGAAAGGCTAGTTAGTGGCAGAAATAAGTCAGTCCTGGAACTTAGTTCTTCTTACCTTAAGTCTTTGCACCAACCACTCTGCATTTCGAAAGAAGTGCAAATACAGAGAAACATACCTCTGCAATTGATGAAAATCCCTGGCGAGGAATTGGAAGGAATCTGCTGCCACTTGTCCCCTCTCCTTGCTAGAAGGGTGACCCCACTCTTTCCTGTAGGTGTCAGCTGACTCCAGTGCATCCATGAACTCTGGGGTTCTGTTAGTTCGGCCATCGCGTCTCTCCTCCAGTGGAACCCCCATGCTGGCTGGGGTCTCTGAGTATGAGCTTCCTGAAGACCCACGCTGGGAGCTGCCTCGAGACAGGTAATGCTCTAATGTGAACTTACTTGAGAAGACACCTTCATAGTTACTCTAACTGTGGGAATGGTGGGTACTAAGACCAATTGTGTCAGCCCCAATAAACACCACTCTTTGTTTCCCCAAAAGACTGGTTCTAGGCAAACCCCTGGGAGAGGGCTGCTTTGGGCAGGTGGTGTTGGCTGAGGCTATCGGGCTGGACAAGGACAAACCCAACCGTGTGACCAAAGTGGCTGTAAAGATGTTGAAGTGTAAGTGATGTTTTGTCCTTGCAAAAACAATCCCTTCCTTTTCCAAGCAAACTGTGGGCTTCAGGCCCAGAAGAGGACCCTCTCTGGTGTTCTTCCATTGCTCATATCTGCTACCCTGCCTTTTGAGGGATACTTGGGAATGGAGGGGGCATTCTGCACTCTGAGATTGCCATAGTCTTACTTTTGTTCTTTTGTGTCAATTCAGGTTGTAGCCAGCTGTTTATTCTAGATCTCATTACTAACTGATTTTTCTCACCATATCCTCTACCCTGTTCACTGCCACATATTTGCAACAACTGCTCCCATGAGAGGGAAGGGAAAATGAAATTGGATGGGAGGTGGGAGGAGAGAAGCAACTCCCAGAGCAAAGAGACTTCTCAGGCATGTGCCCTCTCCCCTCTCCTTTGGCTTTTCTATTGACTCCCTCCCTTCTAAAATAAATAAGGCTAATCCCCTTCTTTGGTTTATGTTTAAAGCGGATGCAACAGAGAAAGACCTGTCAGACCTGATCTCAGAAATGGAGATGATGAAGATGATTGGGAAGCACAAGAACATCATCAACCTGCTAGGGGCCTGCACGCAAGATGGTAGGGGGCAAGCTGGACTGGCTTTCCCAACCCATCTGGAGTAGGGTCTGAGACAGGAACCTGGACCTAATACTCAAATAACAGGGCCTGTCAGGGAGAAGATCCTGAACAGGTTTGGGGATGCACCTACCTGGGCATATCAGTGAGAAGGCATCTCTTAGCTATACTTAGGGAAGGGGGTTAAGAAGAGAGGCTGGCTTAGCAGGAGTTGAAATGCATTTCTTAGGGTCTGGGCTGATGCCTATTGGTATCATCTGAGAATAGAGACATTTAGATTCACACATGCAGTGTGCATAGATATGAACAGGGGTGTTCTCTCTCAACTTTGCTTGGGAACTTCCTGGACTACATTGGGAAGAATTATTTTACTGATTTTTCTTTGGGTAGTAGAATGAATCCTGGTCCCCAGAAGAGAAAGCAGGAAAGAGGAGGTTAGGATCAGGGAGCAAAAGCATGATGTGCAGTGAGGATTGTAGGTTCCTTGAGGTGAAACTAAATGGCCTTACCTGCCTGCCTGCAGTGATGGTCTCTTCATCCTTGTGCTCCCCAGGTCCTTTGTATGTCATTGTGGAATATGCCTCCAAGGGCAACCTACGGGAATATCTACAGGCCCGGAGGCCTCCTGGGCTGGAATACTGTTACAACCCCAGCCACAACCCAGAGGAGCAGCTCTCCTCCAAGGACCTGGTATCCTGTGCCTATCAGGTGGCCAGAGGGATGGAGTATCTTGCCTCCAAGAAGGTGTGGAACCTAAAGGCTCCCCTGAATGAAGTCATAGCAGGAACAGAGCTCTCCTAGTACTCTAGCCTATGACTTTGAATCCTTTGATCGAGTTGTAGACTTATTTTTTAAAACTGTTTATTGTGATTTGGGTGAAATTTTATAAAGCAGTTTTGTTTTACGTTCATCAATTCATACACAGTTTGTTTTGTGACACTGATTGCAATCTCCACAATGTAATAGCTCTATTCCTACTTCTTCCCTGTGTCCTTGTCCTTAACCCTTTCCCCTTGTCCTTCTTACCTATGCATTCCTACCTCCCTAGTTTTCTGCCTTTGCAAATGAAGCCCTTCTGATCTCCTATGGTTGATTGTTTTAAGGACTGCATCTCCCCAGTGTAGTTGTTCAGCTTATAGGACTGTCTATTGTTTGGCTGAAAGTTAGCCATAGGAATCCAATTCCAGGCCTAAAGGGTGACTTGGCATCATAATATTGGGACTTTCACCAGTCTCTCCAACCAGTAATCCTGGTCTTTTTTATTTATTTATTTTTTAAAATTTTGTTCCACATTTTTTTCTCCACTCTATACAGGAACTCCAATCTTGATAACTTTGCAAATTGTTGGCAGTGGTAGCCAGACACCACCTAGTTCTGGTCTTAGTGTCATGGAGGCTGAGGTTCTCATGGTCCATTAGTCCTTTGGACTAGTTATTTCCATGTGTTTTTTATTTTTTTTATTCCGTCTTCTGGGAGCTCTGGTAGCATAGTGCCTGAGGCACTTGACTGCTAACCAGAAGGCTGGCAGTTCAAACCCACCAGCCACTCCTCTGAAGGAAGGTTGGGCAATCAATCAACTTCCATAGTGATACTGCCTTGGAAACCCAAGGAGGGGTCTCTATGAGTCGGGTCTGACTCAACGGCACATAACAACAACAACGACATTCTGTCTTCTTTGCACTGGACAAGGAGAGACCATTAGTTGCAACTTAGAGGGCTGTTCACAAGTTTTAAGAACCCAGTTGCTACTCACCAAAGTGGGAGTGTAGAACAGTGTTTTTGTGTACTATGTTGTGCCAATTGGGCTTGATGTCCTCTGCAACCATGGTCCTGAGCCTGCAGGCCCAGTGACTCAGTCCCTCAAGGTATTTAGTTGTGGGAGTTACAGACTAATTAAGCACTAACTACATGTGCCACTTTGGGAGCTCTGGTAGCATAGTGGCTAAGGCACTTGACTGCTAACCAGAAAGCTGGTGGTTCAAACCCACCAGCCACTCCTCGGAAGGAAGGTTGGGCAATCCTACTTCCGTAGTGATACTGCCTTGGAAACCCAAGGAGGGGTCACTATGAGTCAGGGCTGACTTGACAGCACATAACAACAACAGCAACACATGTGCCACTTTAGGTACTCTGGGAACCTTAGTCAGTACAAACAGTATGACCTAGTAGTGGTCTTGGGGACAGGCTAAATTAGGTTAAAAAAAAATCTGTGCAGTGCCACATCCTATGTAGCCTTGGCTAGTTACTTGACATCTTGTATTTCTTCAAATACAAAATTAGAGTAGTACTACCTTTGCTATAGAATTGTTATGGGATAAAATTAAATCATGTCTATGAGAGTGTTAAGTATAGTTTTTGGTGCTTGGTAAATGGTGACTTTGTTTGAGCCTTAGCCTAGAGTGGTTATGCTGTGCCTTGGTGAGCCGGGACTTGAGAGTATATACCCACCTATACAATCTGAACATATGCATAAAAGTTTAGCACTACATAGTGTGAATCCAAAAGCTAGGAGTTGCCTCTGTGAACAATTGCCTGCTTTGTCGTGAGACCAGAACTGGATGGTACCTTGCTACCATTACTGAACAATTTGATCAAAGATTCCATAGAAGAATCCTGATCAAAAGGGAGAAAATGTAGAACAGAATTTCAGATTCTTAGGAATCCCAGATTTTCTACAGCCATTGGGGCTAAATGAGCCCCTGAAAGTATTGCCCTAAGATAATCTTTAAACGTTGAACCAGAAATACCCCTAAATTCTTCTTAAAACCAAACAGTAATTTAGCTTAACTTAAAAAGAAGTCTGCCTTGAGCACTGTGCTCTTTTAAGATCCATCTATGTGGGATTAAATTGACAACATCAACTCAAAAGATTAGATACGTAACTTAGAGGGCAGTGAATTTATATTAATGGAGAGGAACAACCCCGAAAAGAACTGCGCAACTCAAAGAATGTAGTCAGTGTCACTGATTGTACATGTAGAAACTGTTATGTTCTGCTGTATATATTCTTGACAACAAAGCAATTAAAATAAATTCCCAAAATATAGAACCTAAATATAATATTACATTAAATATGTTGAACAACAACAACAAAAAAAGCTATGATTTGGGAGGTCCAGGAAAGGAGGCCAATAAAAAGGTTTGGCTAAAGTGATTGAGAAGCCAGGGGATGGGAAGGATTTTAAATGGCTGAAGGGAGGCAGACATTCTAGGAGGGAAATAGAATGTTCAGGAGCCAGTCTTCATGTGGAAGGAGAAGGCCCAAGAAGTAAGTAGGTCTGCCTGCTGGCTGCAAAACAAGTGGTGGAGCAGAGGGTAAATCTAACCATTGGGTGCTAATGTGTGCTTTACAGTTGTCAGGCCCTAAAGCCTTACGGTTCTTCACCCACATCTCACCTTCCTCTCTCCCATCTCTCCCTTCCTTGCTCCACAGTGCATACACCGAGACCTAGCTGCCAGGAATGTCTTGGTGACAGAGGACAACGTAATGAAGATTGCTGACTTTGGCCTAGCCAGGGACATTCACCACATTGACTACTATAAAAAGACGACCAATGTAAGTGCTAACAAGACCACTGTGCTTACGTCATCTGCCTAGTGCTCTCTTCTAATAGGCTTTCTCCCACTTAGATTTCTCTGCTATAACCCAGTGCAGGTTATTGGCCTGAGAAACAATGTGGTAGCTGAAAATTTTCACCTCGCTCTGCCCCTCAACAAACCCAATCCCACCTGTCCCCCTACTTACCCCTGACCTTCCCAGGACCCAAGCTACCTCCATTCTCCTCTGTGCCACCTGTAGGGCCGACTGCCTGTGAAGTGGATGGCACCTGAGGCATTGTTTGACCGGATCTACACCCACCAGAGTGATGTGTGAGTTTGAAATAAAAATTGTCAGGAATACTTGGAATAGAGAATATCCAATACAATAAGAGTTCTGCATTTACACTAAAAAAAATATTTTTATATATCCGTTTACTTTGTTCTCAGCTGTTGAAAGGTTATCCTGTTTGCCAGCACTGTCTCAGATGTTTCCTTTAGAATTAAGGACTTGTGGTAGTAGAGGAAGGGGAAGGTTCAGGGATGAGTATCTGACCTGCTGGTGAAGGAGAGACGGAAATGACTATTGGTTGGCCTATTCTGTGCCTATAGATCCAATGTCTCTGTGCTCATCCACAGGTGGTCCTTTGGGGTGCTCTTGTGGGAAATCTTCACTCTTGGTGGCTCCCCATATCCTGGCGTGCCTGTGGAGGAGCTTTTCAAGCTGTTGAAGGAGGGTCATCGTATGGACAAGCCCAGTAACTGCACCAATGAGCTGTAAGCATGAAATGATAGCATGGGCTAGGCACTTGGGGAAGAATGGGTTTGACTGAAGAGTAAATGCAAAAACAGGGTGTTTGGTGGAGCAGACCTACAATTATGTAGATAAAACAAAGCAGTTCTCTTCTAGTTACTTTTTCCATAAGCCCTCCACCGTAAGATTTTTAATCTTTCCGCTTATGTCTTTCCTCTCCCTGCTTTACAATCCTGCCACAGATACATGATGATGCGGGACTGTTGGCATGCAGTACCCTCTCAAAGACCTACATTCAAGCAGCTGGTGGAAGACTTGGACCGTATCGTGGCCTTGACCTCCAATCAGGTAAGGCTGTCCCAGCCTAGACCTCAAGTCATCATCAAATCTTTCATCTTTTCTCTTGAACCTTTCAGGATTCCCATTTTCTTTAGATACAACTCTGAGTCAATACTGTTTCAGGGAGAATGCCTAATCCATTGCTCTTGTATCTCTCCTGTCACAGGAGTATCTGGACCTGTCAATGCCCCTGGACCAATACTCTCCCAGCTTTCCCGACACCCGAAGCTCTACCTGCTCCTCAGGGGAAGATTCTGTCTTCTCTCATGAGCCATTGCCTGAGGAGCCTTGTCTGCCCCGACATTCAGCCCAGCTTGCCAATGGCGGACTCAAACGACGCTGACTACCACCCCACTTGTCCTCCTCCCCAGACTCCATCAACTGTAACCCTCACCCACCACTCCTTGCTGGACTCACTGCCTTTCCTTTTTTTCCTTTCCCTGCTGGCATGAGCCAGCTTGAGGCCTTCCTATGTGGCCTGCCTTCACCCCACTGAGTTCACCTCTCTTCTTCCTCTTCCTCTCAACCTGCTTGTGAGAGAGGAGCAGAGAGGCAGGTACTTCCTGATGGCCACTTCATTCCCTCCCAAATGTTGGACCAAGACCCCTCCCTGCCACCTAGCACTGCCTGGAGGGGTAGGGAGTGGGAGACAAGCAGGCATGCAAGAGAGAGCTTACTGAGCTTCCTTGTGTTGGTTTTGTCTACTTTACCTTAACCCATAAGCCCCTTGCATTCTGGTGGCAGGTGCCTTGTCCTCAGGGCTACAGCAGTAGGGAGGTCAGTGCTTTGGGCCTCAACTGAAGGCGACCTCTGCTCCAGATAGATGGTGCCAGTGGCTTATTAATTCCAATACTAATTTGCTTTGCTGACCAAATACCTGGTACCAGAGGATGGTGAGGCAAAGACTGGGAGCAGTGTTGTGGCCCTGGGGCCCAGCCCCATACTGGGGGCTTTGTACATAGCTATGAAGAAAACACAAAGTGTATAAATCTGAGTATATATTTACATGTCTTTTTAAAAGGGTTGTTACCAGAGATTTACCCGTTGGGTAAGATGCTCCTGGTGGCTGGGAGGCATCAGTTGCTATATATTAAAAACAAAGAAAAAAGGAAAATGTTTTTAAAAAGGTCATATATTTTTTGCTACTTTTGCTGTTTTATTTTTTTAAATTATGTTCTAAACCTATTTTCAGTTTAGGTTTCTCAATAAAAATTGCTGCTGCTTCATTTTTATATGAGCTGTGTGAAAAGGGAGAGAATGCCAACTGGAAAAGAGGCAGACCAGTGGGCCCTGGGGCTGTGTTTGTCCAATGGGCACTGCAAGGTTCCTGCAGTCCTTCTAACCTCTTCCTCTTAGGTCCTTCACAAAGACCTCTGGGACAGAGTTCCTACCTCTGCAGTCCTTTTGGAAAGGCAGGAAAATAAGACACCCACACAATGGGCAGGAACCTCCCACCAGGGGGCTGGGCCGAGAGCCAAGGCTGCAGCAGCCCTCAGCAACAGATTGTTTCCTCATAGGAAGCTGTTGGGAGTAGGGGTCAGAGAGGAGCTAGGGCCTACCTTTGAAAGCCAAAGGGTAGAGTGCAAATGATTAAGCGGGAAGCTAAGGATTATTCAGCAAGGGTCTGCAGAAACTCAAATCCAGATATGTGTCTACCCCGTCCGTATGGGTGTGATTTTGCCTGTACTTCCATGTGAGGGAAGGGGGAGAAAAAAACTTGGGTCACGTAAGACTTGTCTTACATGTTAGGCCGCTTGCTTCATTTTTCCTAACCTAGTCTGTATTTGTTACCTCCCCCAGATCATTCTTCCTATATCCATGTGACCAGAAGGCATTTGTTGGGACTATCACAGATCTTGGCTTCCTATAGTTCTTCCTGTTCAAACTCCACCCCGTCCCTCAGGAAAGGGAAAAAAATTCTCTGAATGTTTTTGTTTTTTGACTACTTGGAAATTTACTTCTGCCACCTGCTGGTTATCACTGTATTCACTAAGTGGATTCTGGCTCTCAATTATGTTATTGCAAAACTTACTACTCCCCTGCTTAAAGCTTAACTTTTTGTAACTGTTGGTGAATATTACTGCTAAATACAAAAATAAGTCCAATAAGCTTTCATTTCTGTAGGGAAAATGAGGTTGCTGCTTTAAGTTTCCTTTCTGAGCTAGGTGATTTTTGGCAGCTGCAGTGTTGGTCACTATTGTAAAATTCTCTTTTATCCTTGTTTCTCTGTAAATATGCAACTGTCAACATACTACGATTTGCATTTATGTTTAAAGAACATAATTGGGTAAACTGAGCAGGAAATGCATTTTAGCTCTTAAAACCATCTGCTTTGAGACCTCATAGTATTGTCTTTCCTTGTAAAATAGTGTTGATGATTTCTGCCTTGGCCCTACCATGAAGCAGTGTTGTGTGAATGGATGGAGAATCTTTGAAGGGCTTTATGTTCCTTGAGGAGAAGTGTTGGAGAAATAGAAGTCACTTTTATAACAAGTGATGTCCTTGCTGTTACTACTCAAATCACCCACAGATTTCCCCAGAGGCGGAACTGGCTGTCAAATAAAAGATAGTGAGATTGACCTGAGAGAAAATGAAATGGCCATTTTACTTAGATGACCAAATTGGGTCTCTTGAGGGAAGGAAACCAGTTTATCTAATGAAGACATTGTGCTGTCAAGGTGCTGAATGTCTAGTTTCCTGGGTGTTAAAAGATTAGGATCTGGGATCACCACAGTATTAATCAATACTGCCTTTCCGTCTTCTCTAATTGCCATAGGCTGGGGATCATCAGTCCCCTGGCGCTGCTAATGTAATGTATTGATCTCAGGTAAGTAAGATTGAACATCAGACGGTGCAAGAAATCTATCTCATCAATGATAATTAAATTGATGTGCTTATCAGCCACCACTGGGTGGAGCCAGCAGGCTAAGATCTCAGTCACATTAGGTATTATCCCATTCTGCTTTAAAGTTACAATTAGTCTGAGCTTACCTACAGCTGTACACTGGTAGTGACTAGGAAATCTTTAGCCTCAGGTTTTAGCATTATACTGCATTTATTTGACAGCACCAATGTGATTACCATTGTAATGACTAAAGTGCAGAATTAGACATGGCATAATGCAGGTCCATAAGTATGAAGTGCTAACCCACCAATACTGTGCTAGCAGAACTGTCTTCTATGTATGAGACACAAGCCAGTTAAAACATCACTGAGGTTGGGTTTTAGAGAATGCCTAAAAATTACAACTGGTAGTGTATCAGCAGCTGGCAGAGTGGAGGTATATGTACCTGGGGGAAGCAGGGACCAGAAGGAAGCTTTGACGTAACCTGGCAGAGCCTTCCAGTCCCTCAGCTGATGAGTACTAGGCCCAGGGAATGTCCACAAGAAAGAACATATACAGGACCATTGATACTGCCTCCTAGATGTGTCTTGGCATAGGGAAGTGATACATTTAGTGAACAGTCAACTAGAGGTTAAATTGTCTTTTGTTCCTCCAGGAAGGCTAGAGGTGGTTATGCTGGAGCCAATTCGCAAGAGCCGACTGTGCCTATCTCTTCCTAATTCTGTGTTCAGTGATTATATGTCAGTAGCTTAAAGTTGGGCTTAGTAGGAGTATATATATCACTTGAATCCACAGACATTGTGAATTAGGCTTCCTTCCTCCACCACCTCAGTGAGCTGATGGTTAATTATCTGCCAGAACACTGCTAGCTAGGTTTCAGCATGGGGCTATATCCAGCAGCCAAGCACCCTAAGTGATGAAAACAGGAAATGTCTTGCCTTCTCTGAGCCACTATTGTAAGAATGGGAACAGATATACATAAAGTGTCTTATATGCCTAGCAGTACCAGTTGCTGTTGAGTCAGTTACAGCTCACGGCAATCCTATGTGTCAGTGTAGAACTCTGCTCCACAGGGTTTCAATGGCTAATTTTTTTGGGGGAAATCCCCAGGCCTTTCTTCCAAGGCCTCTGAGTAGACTCGAACTTATAACTTTCTGGTTAGCAGTTCAGTACCTTAACCATTTGCACCGCCCAGGGACTCCCTTAAATGCATACTAAAAAAAAAAATCACTGCTATCGATTTGATCCCAACTCATAGCAACCCCTCCTTGGGTTTCTGAGGTGGTATCTCTATGGAAGTTCCGAGGAGTGGCTTCTGATTAGCAGCCATGCATAGATGCAGCAAGAAAAGGGGAAGGCCAATTGGGACCAAAAGTGACCAGGAGCCTGTTGACCTAACCATTACCACTCTGCTCATAGGGAAAGCCAGAAAGAATTGTAGAAAAGCTCAACAGTACTTATGAATCACTCAGCTAAATAGGACCAAGCAAGTTAACTAGCTGATCCCTTCCCCACATTCAACACTTAAAATGTAGACTAATTAAAATAAACACTGTTTTAAAAATGGGAAAATTTATTGTGAACCACCTTGCTAGGCCAGTGGCAAGCCTCTGGAATGCTGCATTTGCACAGTAGGGATTCGTCATTATCAAGAAACTAGTTCATTAGCAGTACACAGTGGAGCTTACTCTCTGATGGAGAAGAGGTTTAGGAAACATTTTAAAGTGCACATTCTCTCCATGAAGTGCTGGTGACAATCTTCATTTAGGTGATCTCAGACAGCAGATTCAAGTTTTACTTGGTCTAAAGGACTCCCAACTAACTGCTTCCGATTTCAGAGAAATCTAATTTCGTCACTCACAGCCTGAGATATCTTTTCCCTTCTGACCTCTTCCCAAGAGAAGGAGTTGTTGGTCAGCTGCATGTCAATGTGTTTATTATGTTAAGTTTTTCGGTATTGATGATACTAAAAGCACCAAACATAAATATCTGAGCATAATACTTGTTACTGGGTAGCAAAGAGATTATATCAGACTTTAACAACCCCTATGACTAACAAATAGTCTTATTTGTGAAAGACAAACAGGCTCGAAAAATATACACCCAACACAAACAAATGGTTAAGCCTAAAACCCTTAATTATGTTTCCTTGCAAAATGGTGGCTAATGAAAGCCATATGTGCTATAATAGTGGCAGCCTCCCAGATTCCTGCAGGCCCGAGAAGGGGATGTCTTTCAGAATAGCCAACCAGCTGCCAAACCTTTTTGACTGCCAGTCTGTTTAACTCCATTTTCTCCTCCAAGAAACTTCTTCATATCCAGGCTTTACTGGAGAGTATATCCATCTGCCTCGTAAGATACTTGTTTTCCAGGGCACTGTTCTTAATTAACACGCTGAAGAAGTTGGTTAGTCACGTGTTCTCACAATAGTTTTGGAGTTTTCAACTATTTACTGGTGCCAGCTGATTCCGTTATGTAAAAACATTCTTTACAGGATGTGTACAAATACGAAGCTGTTCAAAAACAACTAGGGGGAGGAGTGGCTCTATATGTATAGTTGGTGAAGTTTAGTGGAATGGCATAGTATTACATTGGAAATGAACTTTGCAGTTACATTTCTTTAAATGGTCTGAACTTGGTCTCTGCTGACATCCAGAATGGTGACAAGGCTTCAAAGGATTGCTCCAAGGACTAAATGGCTGATCATCTATCCCAAACCAGACACAGATAGTCTTAATGGGGAGATCTTTTATGAATGCCACTGCTGAGGGCAGGAAGCTGGAGAGAGGTTACCTTCATCCTCAAGTGGTCCTTAGGCTTCTTTTGAACTAGTCTTGCTGCTCTGGGATGTGTTTTGTGAGTTGGCCTGGAGTGTCTAGGTTAAAAACATAAGGACTTTAGGCACTGATCACAATTAGATATGTACCCCATGTGGTGTCAGAGTAGAACTGTGCTTCACAGCATCAGCTTTCCAATGGCTGGTTTTTCAGTAGATCCCTAGGCCCTTAGGTGCCCCTGGGTAAATTCAAACCTATCTTTCCATTAATAGACAAGCACATTAACTGTTTGCACCACTCAGGGACTATATAATTCCTTAAGGAGCTACTTTTCGTTTTCTTAATGACAAACTACAAAGTCAAATGTGAGTTTATAATTTACCTTAGTGATAGAAATACAGGCATGCAAATAAGGCCCCTGTGTGCATTGGGACATTTTCCAGATGACCTATCTGTGTTCACAAATTATTTTTTTAGTCATTCAGGGCCCAGCAAAGGCACTACACAGTTCAACTCTCCCATGACCCCCCCCCCACTGTTTATTTGTGTCATGTTTTTTGTTCTTGCCCAAAATCCCTTCACCCAAATGAGAATAGTGGGCAGATAAGTAATTCTTACTTACATGAACTTCTAAGATTTAAATTGTTTTCTTGCTAATGTATTTCCTGAATCAGGGGCCCTTGTAAGATACACAACATATGGAAACCATTTCCATCTGGCTCAGAAGAAAATAAGGACCTGCCTATATTGTAATTAGCCTCAAGACTAAACTCGAGTTTGATACACAATTGCATTGGTTAATTTTTTTTTTTTTCTTTTCATTTTTGGATAATTGAGATAAAAAAAATTTAGTGGTTATCAGATGACTAAACTTTAGCCTACAACTTATTTGGAAGTGGGAAAAAAAATGTGCAGGATTTTGCAGTAACTATAATTC